CCCCTTCCTTTCATGCCTCTCCGGGAATAAAATGCCAGACGCAGCGTAGCCTGCTGAGGACGCCCCACACCCTTGACGGGGGGCCCACCCACCAGGCACTGTGGCCACCATGGCTCAGGCCTCCCAGCCTCGCCCGCCCGCCTCCCAGCTCCGCTGTGTGAGGCCAACCTTGGTCTCTGCCTCAGTATCCCCGTGTTCTCTCCCGGTTTCCCACCTCGTGCTGGGCAGGCCTTGGCTTCGACCTCCGGGCCTGCGTCTCCCCCAGCTCCTATCCCCTCTCCTCATCCTTGGTCCTCAGAGAGCAGGTGTTTGCTCTCTCACCCTCACATCCCATTCAGTCCCAGCCCAGAACATTCTGCCCTAACCTCTACAGACTGTCCTTCAGTGGCCTCCTAACTGCCAAATCAGAGGGACACTTTCCAGCTTTTTCTTGAAAATCTGCTCAAGTGTGAGTGTCTTCAGATGAACCTAAAACCTGTTCCTCCCAATTCTTCACCTGGTACCCCAGTCCTCCTCTCAAGACAGTGACTTGAGACCTCACTGAACATGACCCCACCCTCACTTCCCCTCACTCACAAATATGTCCCAAGGCAGCCCCCCTTCCACTGCTACTCCCCGTCCTGGTCAGGCTCCATCATCCTTCTCTGGGCTCATCCACTGGACCCAGCATGGTCCACCCCACACCGGAACCAAACCTGTCACCAAGCTACCAGGAGACAGCTGTCACATGTGCAGACCAGCCACCTTGTTGACCTGGCCAGCACCCCTCAACTCGCTCCTTGGCTGTCCGGGTCCTGGTCAAGCTCCCCAGAGGCAGCTGGGGCGGCCCCACACAGACAGGTGGACCACACCTGCTCCCGGGGGGGCCTCTCCTCCCGTCACCTGTCCCAGGCTCACCCCTCGGCGACTCAGCCAGGAAGCTTACTCCCCCGAGTGGGCAGGTGTGCACGCACGGTGCCATCACAACCGCCTCGGTGTGCTACAAACAACTGCTTAGGGCCCTGCCGCCCAGCTGTGTGTGTGTCCATCTTTTACACCAGCGAGTACAGGCTGAGGGCGGGTACCGTGAAGGCTGGCCATGGGTACCATGAAGGAGATTGCTAAACTCTGAGTTTTTGGCTTATACTTTTTGCTTCTGAAATCACCCTAGATTGTCCTCAGATAAAATATTCACATAGGAGAAGACGTAGATGCCCTTCAAGAGATATCATCGCCTTTAGAAAACAAGGTCCAATGGTTTGGGTCAAATCTCTTCACAACAGTGGGCGCTGGACCCTGGGCACAACCTTTATGGTCAGACACAGCCTTGTGAACGGATGCAGTCAGCGCCAGCCAACCAGACACTCACGAACGGTTACAACAATGAGTAATATGGATATTGTACCCCAACAATAAAAAAAAATGTTTAAAAGAACCCCAAAAATGTCTTATGGAAGTAGCAAAAATTAAAAGAGCCTCAACCTTCACGTCATCCTCGAAAGGCTGGGGAAAATGAACCTGCCCAGTTGTTCAATTTAATGGCAAATCTCAATTCATAAGAGATTAAAGCTGCCACTTTAGAATATCCAGCTTCACTGACATCTTTGGTAAACTTTATAATATCAGATTTAAATCCAAATTACGATTCGAAAGCAAAACTAATCCCAGTTTCGTTTCCTCACTGCTGAGAGGTGGACGCTCGTCAGCGGCGCAGGTAAGCGAGGGGTTAAGGGAAGAGCATCACCATCTCCTCCCGGCCCTAAGCCCTCAGCCTCCTCAGCAACTTCAAAGCCGTCTGGCCCTGTGCTGGTTTGAATTAAGGTTCCCTTTTCTCCTCCGAGTCTCCGCCCGAGGAGAAAGTGCCGCTGCTGCTGGATTTCATTAGGGGCAATTTTCTTATCTCTTCTTCATCTTGGGCTTGATCTCCTGAAATGCAATGTGGCAGGCAATGGGTCTGAGTAACAAGGTGCTGCTTTTAAGGCACACATTGTCCCAAGGGGCCCTCCAAAAAGGGGGAGCAGTGCAGAAGAAAGGGGAAAGCGGATCCTGACCCTTCCTCCCCCATCCAATCGATGCCCAGGGAACCATAAATTGTAAAGTTCAAAGTGCTCTTTTACATTAAAATCAATAAAAAAAATCCTGGAACAATTTTCCTTTTCAAAGAAGCTATTTAAGCTTTAAAAAGTTCATTTGATAAGGTATCATCATGTACACATTTGGCAGAAGATGAAAACAGAATGTTAGCGGCAACAAAGAGTGAAAGGGTCATTTTAAATGCAGGCCAGGAGGCTGGGGGGCCAGGAGGCTGGGAGGTGGGGGGCAGGAAGATGACCTCCAGGCCCCGCCTCGCCCCCCACTCTGCCCACTGGCCGGACCCAAGGTGCTGAGCATTTCACCCCAGGGTCAGAGTGCCTAGGGCTGCTGAGACCTGCCAGGAGGGCCAATCCAGTCGAAACCTGGCCGGAAAGAAAGAAGTGATCTGCAGGAAGAGAGAACTACTAGTTTTTACCACTTCCAACCATAGTTTAAAGAAAGTTCTGCCCACACCAGAACTTGGCCACATTGGGCCCCTGGGGCCTCCGAGTCACCAACGTCCACTTGGACAGTATTTACGCCTCTCACGGCAGGCGTCCAGACACTTTATTTCCAAAGAAGACTCCTAAGAGGGCTGGGAGACAGCAGAGTGATGCCGCTCGGTGGGCGTTCCAGGCACGGGCAGCAACAACCCCCGGGCGGTGAGGCTGCGCGGCTTCAGCATCCACAAAGCTGATCTTCACTGTGCATGTTAGCAAATTTTCAGATGTTGTATCTGTTTGGGGGAGTCCTTCTTCCTTAAATTAGGCAGGGCAATTGTCAAAATTATACTATATCTGATCAAGAATAAGAAGCATTGAAATTAAACCAATGAGATCAGAGGAAAAAGTGACTCAGGAGAAATTCAGAATGGGCCTTCTAAGAGGTGATGACTCCTACCCGCATGGACCACTGTCATCGTTTGAGCAGCTGACCTTCCGCCTCGATTTAACCAAACGTGAGCCGTTACTACTCTGAACCGCTGAGCGGCTGGGGCGCGTGACTTATATCACCAGACCCTGCTGACCATTCTGAGGTTGGGGACTAGGACCCCGTTTTGAGGTTAGCGAGCAGAGGCGGCGAGGGGTCATGTGAGGGTCTCCACAGAGCACAAGGCAGATCTGCAGCAAAACTCTTATAGATATGGCCTTTTATGGACCCTCATCCGCCACAGAGACAAGCACACACACAGCACATGTGCACGCACACAGGCACCTACATACACATACAGAGACATGCACACACACTGCAGATGTGCACGCACATGGGCAGCTACAT